CGAATAGCAAAATGATCTTAACAGAAAGAACAGTGCTGGACGAATATCAATACCAAATTTTAAACTCTACTATAAAGCTATAGTAATCAAAAGAGCTTAGTACTGGCACAAGACCAGACCTGAGAACCAATGGAATAGAATTGAAAACCCAGAAATGAACCCAGAGATCTATAGCCACCTAATCTTCCATAAGGGAGGTTAAAAAAAAAATAGAATGGAAGAAAGACAGCCTCTTCAGCAAATGGTACTGGAAAAACTGGTTATTTACCTGCAGAAAAATAAGCTAGATCCTTATATACCTCCTTGCACTAGAATCAGCTCCAAATGGATCAAAGAACTCAGAGTCAAAACAGACACCTTGAAAACATTACAAGAAGGAATAGGAGAAACCCTAAGTCTCCTTAGCACAGGCTGAAATTTTCTTAATAGAGACCCAGAAACACAACAAATCAAAGAAAGTTTGGACAAATGGGATTCCATGAAGCTGAAGAACATCTGTATGGCAAAGGACATAGCTAGCAAGATCAATAGAAAGCCCACTGATTGGGAGAAGATCTTCACTAGCCATACAATGGACAAGGGTCTTGAATCTAAAATATACTTGGAAGTAAAAAAAAATTAAATCCCCCAACAACAAATCCTCAAAGAAACAACTGCCTGATAAATAAGTGGGCTAAAGACTTAAAGAGAGACTTCTCTGAAGAGGAAATAAGAATGACCAATAGACACATGAAGAAATGCTAAACCTCCCTAGCCATAAAAGAAATGCAAATCAAAACAACATTGAGATTCCACCTCACCCCAGTTAGAATGGCTAGAATCAAGAACTCTAATAGATGCTGGAGGGGATGTGGCCAGAAGGGAACCCTACTGCATTGTTGGTGGGAGTGTAAACTTGTTCAACCACTTTGGAAAGCAGTATGGAGGTTCCTCAAAAGACTCTACATAGAGCTCCCCTATGACCCAGCAATCCCACTTTTGGGCATTTACTCAAACAATCACTCACAAGGCCATACTAAGGCTACCAGCACAACTACGTTTATTGCAGCATTATTTACCATGAGTAAGACATGGAACCAACCCAATGTCCCTCAGTAGATGAATGGATCACGAAAATATTATATATATATATATATATATATATATATATATATATATGCAATGCCTCTATGCTTCCATCAGAAAGAATGACATTGCCCCATTTGTTAGGAAATGGAAAGACTTGGAAAAAATATATTAAGTGAAGTAAGCCAGGGCCAAAGAAACATAGGTCCCATGGTTTTCCATATTTGCAATAACACGTACATGTGTAGGACAAGCAGAAAAGGCAAAAAGCTATGTAGATATGACCATATAATATGATGTTAAGTGAAATCCACCCTAAGATAGGGACCTAAATATCTTTTTCTTTCTTGCTGTTTTTCTAAAGTATTTATAATATACCATGTGATTTTTTTTTGTATGTTCCTCCCCCCAAGGTATAACCCCTATTTTAACTGTATTTCATATTGGTGCCTTATATATTGTATATACACTTCTCTAATTCAGGGATGGGAAGAGAAAAAACAAAATGCTTAATAAGGATACAGTTGACCCATTGTAACAATGAGATGTACAAGACACTGTGTTGGAAATGAACTTTACAACTTGGGCAAGGGATTGGAGGTAATTGTGGAGATGAGAGGGGAAGGGCTGGTAGGGGAAACAAAGGAGGAGGCAACAATGCTTAATAGGAAATGTACTCATTACCTTGCTCATGTAACTGTAACCCCTCTATACAGCATTTTTACAATAAAAAATGTACAAAAAAAAGACCAAGGCTTGATCATAGTCTTGATCTACTCATAGAATGGCAGGATCTTTTCCCTTCCTTCATACCTTATGTCCACATTTCTGAAGAGCTATGATAAGAGTTCTTTTAAGCTAGCAACTCAGAGCCATCTAAAAAAAATTTACAAGATATAGTAAATTGTAAAATAATAGTTTAGAAAACAGTAAATGTTAATAAAGACCTAACCTCTGATGGGTAACTAAGAATTGGAAAATTGCAAACAGCTTTGATTAATTTAATTCAAATTTTGTTAGGGAGACAGTATAAAAGAATTGATGAGCAATGTAAGTAGAAAGATGGAAATTCTAAAAAAAAAAATTACAAGAAATGCTAAACATCAAAACTTTATAAAGGCTTTTTTAGGAATTGTAGAACAAGCACAATGGCTATACAAAATGAAAAATGACAGTAGAGAAGAAAGGAGTAAAAAAACAGAAGAAATAGTAATCACGGAATATTCACAAGTTAATGTCAGACATAAAGCTTAGAACACAAAACAGAAAAACTAAAAATATACTTATTATTTTCAAATTACACAAAATGAAATAGCAAACATCTCACTTACCACAAGGAAAAAAAATCATCTTACTTCTCCTTAGAAATTATGTCAGCAAGGTAACAAAGGAGAGATATCATTAAAACACATGGAAAGAGAAAAAAGGAAATAAAACAGACACCGAATTTTGTGCCTTATCAAATCCTTAGTGAAGGGTAAATAAAGATTTTAAATACAAAAATAAATAAATACTTTTGCCAGCAAATCTGATTTGCAAGAAATATGAAAGCATTTTAGTGATAAATAGATGCCTTATATATGTGTGCATTTATTTATAAAACACATATGTCAGAAGCACAGCTCTTTATAATGAAAGAAAAGTCTCGTGAAAAAATAAATGAAGGTAAAATTGTATTTGCTTCTAATTAATAAAGCATATAGTTTAATAAATATACTAGAATTGTATGCTCATACATTTAGTTATACATCTACACATCAGTAGCGTAGATACCAGAAAAATGAATGGCAGCAATAGGCTCATGATAGAGAGGGATAGGAATTATTTTTATTATGGGATACTCAAGTCATCTGTGAAGAGCTCTCTTAAAAAGTTCATTTGCTGCTGTTAATCTGCTGTTAAATAACAAAGAGCTATTAGTCTACAAACTAGATAAATTATAAGCGGACAATATTTATTTGACTCAAAATTCTAGAGGCTGAAAGTCAAAGTTGGAGCGGCTTTTCCTGTGAGTCTCTTCTTCCTGCACCATATGGGAAGGAAGGCACCTTTTGGCAATAAAGCAAGTGAGGGGGTGAAGGGAGGCAGCTATGGTCTTCGTTTTAATCTTTTTAACCCATTCATGACTGCCACATCCATTCCTAGCTTGTGCTCCCAGAACCAATCACCTCTTGAAGGCCTACCTCTTCATTCTATAATAATGACAATTACATTGGAATGCGTATTTCAGAGGGGCAACCATGGCAAGGGGATTTGAATAGTCCACTCGAAAGTGGACTTGATAACATGTACATGTATACCTGAATGCTAAAACAACTAGCCGAAAGAAGTACAACAGACATAGTAAAGAAAGCAGAGACCTCCATTAGAAAGAATGACATTGCTCCATTTGTTAGGAAATGGAAAGACTTGGAAAAAATTATATTAAGTGAAGTAAGCCAGGCCCAAAGAAACATAGGTCCCATGGTTTCCCTTATTTGCAATAACTAGTATATGTCTGGGACAAATATCATAGGTCTCATGGTTTCCCTTTTTGCAATATCTGGTATATGTCTGAGTCAAGCAGAAAAAGTCAGATAAAGTGATGTTAGGGAAATGAACCCTAAGTTATGTACTCAAATGTTTTTTTTTTCTTTCATGCAATGGTTTCTAACACATTATTTCTTTGTTGCTTTGTATGTCCCTCCCCCACAGTATAACCCCTGCTTTCACTGTTTTTGATGTTGATATAATTTGTGGAGGGGAAGGGAAAAACAAATCGTTTAAATAGGGATACAGGTGGACCCATTCCAACAATGAGATATACAAGTCGTTATGTCAAAAAAGAACTTTACAACTTTGGTTGGGGGAGGCAGGGGAGGATGGGAATGGATGGGAAGGGGAAACAAAGGAGGAGGCTACAATGCTTGATAAGAAATATAGTCATTATCTTGCTCATGTAATTGTAACCCCTCAGTACAGTATTTTCACAATAAAAAAGAGAGAAATAAAGAAAGCAAAGAAAATAAAATCATGATACACTCAAAATCTCAAGAGGAAGAAGTCACAAAGAACTTTAAAAGAAAGGGTTAAAGAACAAGAATGCAAATAGAGTATGTATAAACCCAACTATATCAGTAATCACTGATTATTAATGGTCTATATAAAGATATAAATGTTGATATAAATGGTCTATATAATGGTCTATTTAAAAGATAGAGATTGTCACAATGGATCAAAAAATAGGATCTATTTGTACATTGTTTAAAGGAAACCCATTTGAAATATAATAAATAATATATAAATATAATATACATATACATATAGTTTAAAAGTAAGTGGTTAGACCTATATCCTGCTAATTATCAAAAGGAAGCAGGGGTAGCCATATTAATTTTTCAAAGGGAACTTCAAAGGAAGCAAGTAGTTATTTATCACAAATATCTATAACAAGTACAGTTAAATAGGAATTCTCCCAGACTTATTAGAATGTGGGTTGGTATTTTTTGTGTGTGATGAGATAAATGAGAACATTTATCTACATCTTACCTTTTGTTCATTTTAACATTAGTCATTCTGTTCTCTAGCTCCATGGTGTCTCCTGGTGACAAGATCACTTCTAACCCTGACTGCTGCCCCACCTCATTGGCCTCCCCTCTGTCCCCATGACACTTAACTTTAGATTTGTGATAATGACAGACATCACAACTGCTTTCATTGGAGTAATTTTTTTTATTTGTACTAGTTACTTAAATTGATTTTTCTGCCATGAGTTAACTAAAAGGAAGAGAAAAGCTTAAAGGAGTATTCTTTTAACTCATATACTTTCCACAGTGTTTATCTCCTCTATCAAAGGTGTGAATAAAACGAAAAGGGAAGAGGAGAAAAATTCAGTCAAAATATTCTAAAAGGAGTGGGTGAGAGAGGAATACATGAGCTGGAGAGAATGATGGAAGAGGTTACTCTGATCAAGGAGCATTGGACACATAAATGAATGACGTAAATTGTAACTCCCTTGTACAACCATTTGAAGTTTAGAAAATTAAGGGTCAAACTACTTTCCAAAGTGTATCCCCACCAGTAGGTATGAATTCTCTATACGCTCTATACGCTTGCCAATGTTTTGTATGATCAGTCCTAATATTGGTCATTAAAGTATATGTGTGGGACGTTTCATTGATGTTTTGAATTGAATTTTCTCAGTTAACCATGCTATGTCTTTTCAGTTTGATATTCACAAAATTATTTAGTGAAATATTTGTTGAAATTATTTTAAATAGGCACTTTGCTTTTGGATTCCACAGTCTAGGAAACTATATATTCTGGATTCAAGTCCTTTATCAGATATGATTTACAAATATTTGCTCCAATTCTCTGGTTTGTCTTTATTTCTTTTGAGACAGTGTCTCACTATAGATGAAATATTGTTATCTTCCTGCTTCAGCTTCCTGAGTATGGAGCTTACAGGTATGGTCACTACACACAGCCAATACACTATATCCAGTGTGGTGCTCTGGACCAAATCTAGGGCATTGCTAGGCAACTGCTGTATTTCTAGCCCATCTTGTCATTTTCCAAATTTTATTTTCTCATAAAAAAGTAGTTTTCCCTCCAATAGCACACTTAAGTTCTCCAATGGGGCTTTTACTTGACATTTTCACACTAATAAACAATGTATCCTGATCAACATTACTCCTTCTATCTCACTCCCCCCTTCCCATCTTTTTAATTTTAAACTAATTATAAAACACAAGTATTTAACTTTAAAAAAATGACGTGATGTTTGGATATTCCTAGGCTAGAGCAAGCATTGCTGTCTGACAGATAAGAAGGAACTTGAGAACATTTTCTAGTGCCTGAGGAAGGATTCAATTATTGAAATGGAACAATTAGAAGCTAATTATTTTACCAATTAAAATCAATATTTTCCTCCAGAATGGAGACACTAAAACAAACCAATGAAAGCTTGGGATCACAAATGTTTTGTATCTTTTTTTCAGATATTGATATGCTTACATACATACTGTGAGGTTTTTGGATATAGTACCTAAGTCTAAAGACTAAATTCACACACACACACACATAATTTTTTTTTTTTTGTCCAGTCGTGGGGCCTGAATTCTGGGCCTGGGCGCTGTCCCTCAGCTCTTCAGCTCAAGGCTAGCGCTCTACCACTTGAGCCACAGCACCACTTCCGGCTTTTTTTCTTTTTGCTTATGTGGTGCTGAGGAATCGAACCCAGGGCCTCAGACATGCAAGGCAAGCGCTCTACCACTGAGCCACTTTCCCAGCCCACACACATAAAATTTTAAATTTTGGATATTTCAATTAGGAGTGCTGGACCTGTTCTCATCACCTCAGTTTCATTCACCTTTCTTGACCATGTGAATTGTAACTTGTTCCTCAAAACACCTTATAGTTCATTTCCTCTAGGAGTAGATGTCTGTCTTCCATATTCTGCTTGTAACCCTGTTTATCTTTACCATATAAACTTATTGTTCTGAAAGTTTCTATTTAATATTTGTCTTTACCATTGCTTAGGATCTGTCTTGAGGTCAGTCATGAAGACTAACTGATATTTACATTCTTAGACTTTAGTTAACATAAAAACATTACATGATAAGACCTCACTTTGCAGCCATATAAGATACAAAAACTAAAAATAATTATAACCAATATTATAAACAAAAGAAATAATATTACTCATATATATATATATATATATATATAAACATATAGGTGACAGGTAGGTAGGTAGTGGATTGGTAAGTGGATAGATAGATAGATAGATAGATCACTGTGTAGTTTGGGTGGTATACTTGTAACCTAGTGTATCTTCTGAATCAATGCAGGAAAATGAGTACTCAGTAGCCCTTACACTACCATACTGTCATACTGCACTTTAGGGTCTTATGCAATATTACTAGTTCTTAAACCAGAGCATAGAAAATAAATGTTTCCCAAAGATTTCTCTGCTGCAAGAAACTGGAATAAAAACAATTTTAAAAAGGCAACTTAAATGCTGAAAGGAGCAAATAATAAAGAAATAAAGTGTGTTTTATTTCAATTAATGGAAAGGCAGTGGTTCAATCTCTGAAATACATTTAAAACCCATAAATAGGAAATGATTTCATAATTCTGACCTACTCTCATCTGATTGCTGCACTTGCTACTGTAGTAAACTGGATATCGGTTAATTGCACAGTTTATCAATCTGCAAACTATGCCAACTCCAGATGCTCTTTAAAATGTAATCATTATAGATAAATACTGCTGCAGTTTTCATTTCAATTTTTGATCACATCACAGCAATACAATATTTTCTCATTACATTTCACCATAGATCATATCCTGACATTATTTACTGCATTTGCTTACCGAATGCTTCTTTCAGGCAGAGTTCCCAATGAAGTACACATTCTGTTCAAGTGGAACTTCAAGGCTTTAGATAAAGCAGCATCCCTTCCTTACTGAAAGCTCTTTCTAAGTCATTAAAGGTAAACTACTTTCTGGGCACCAGTGGCCCACACCTATAATCCTGGCTACTTGCAAATGGGAGGTCTGCAGTTCAAAACCAGATCCAACAGAACAACTTTTGAGACTCCTTATCAACTCAAGGCTGGGTGCAGATTCAGGTGCCTCTCATCTCAAGCTAATTAGTAAGTTAATCATGGGAAGAATGCATTTTTCAGGCTACCTTAGGAGGACTAATTGGGAAGATACTCTAGATTTGTGGAGGGAAGCTGAATATAATGACATGTGCCTGTAACCCCAAGAATGAAAAAGCTAAAGTATGTGAATTGAAATTTGAGTCCCTGCCTAGGAAGGAAGAAAGAATCTGTCCCATGCAGCCAGCAGCAGCAAGGAAAATAACAAGGATGAGGATGAAAATAACAACAACAAGAAATGGGAAAAAATGCAATTCTGGTGGCTCAAGTTGTAGAGTGCCATCCTAGCAAATGGGATGCTCTCAATTCAAACCCCAGTACTGGGAAGAAGAATTTTTTCATTCAATTTAGGTCAATGAAATAAGAAAAATGCAGAATAATGTCTATGAAGTTGCCTTTTCAGTGTTTTGATCCCACAAAGAAAATTTCTAAAGATCTTTTACATTTATACATCTTCCTCTCTTATGCAAAATCTAAATGACTTACAATGTAAAAACAAAAGGTGTCTCTTGGTAAACATGAGTACCAGCTTTTCATTTCAGACAAACACTTTAAAGCTATAAAATTCTATTGGTTCCAAAGAAATAATCAAGAGATGTTTAATATATACATACATTTCAAATCATCACTTAATTAAACTGATAGTTTACATTACAACACTGAATATACTCATTTTAAGAAACATTTTAAATAATTAAATAAAATCTATGCCATTCTTAATTGTTCCTAAAGAAAACTACAATATATATCAAATTAGAAAAAATAAGAAATGTCCATTTTTCTTTTGAAGAAAACATTAAGATTAGGTATTATTAAAAGTATAATTGGAAGGTTTGATTATAAAAACAAAATATCCGGAAACAAAAATGATGTTCCATTTGATCCTCAAAATGTATTAATTTTTCCACTTACTTGGCTTTAAGTCTCCCACTCCAATTTTTCCTATGGTGTTTTGTGTTGTTCAGTTATACTCTATATGCAGACCGTTTACTTACTAAAAAATCAACCATTTCAATCTAATAGTTTTCTCTGAGATCACTCAATACTTCAAGTTATCAAGCCATAAGCTATAGCCTGAGTAAGTCAAAATTCTTTTCAAATGTTTTACTAAGATACTGGGACAAAGTTATTCTTCCTTTTTTTCAAATTCTTCATTGTGATTAAGTGATTACATAATTTCCCAAATTTCAGAGTATTGTGGGATAGTGATGCTTAGTTAAAGTCACAAACACATTCTAACTTTCATGAGGCAAATTGTCTATCGTGGTCTATAACATTTATGAGTTCTATGAGCTTTGCAATACAGTTATTTCTTCCACATTGAGTGTTATGTACGTTTCTTTTGTTTTGCATAGCATCAGCTGTTCCCTCTTTCCCACTTGTTCCCTCCCTCCCATCGCTGCCATTGAGTTGCTTAGTTCATTTTGATCAATGTCCAGTGCAGCTGATGGGTCCTGCTGCTGTATGTTTTTCCCTGATTCCCTCTAGTTCTGTGTCATCCTCCTGGTTTCCCGCCTGTGTGCACATAAATACCATATATGTGATCAGCAGCATGGAGTTATTTAGTAGTGATTTTACCAGATGAATGGGAAGTCCTTGGCTTCTTAAGCCTTGTTAATTTTGTCATATCACCTTATGTTTTAGATTTAACATCCACTTATCAGGGGACCATGTGCCATTTGTGTCTGCTCATGGCTTACCACACTCAACATGATTTCTTCTAGCTCCATCCATTTTCCTGCAAATGCCATTATTTTGTCCTTTCTAATATCTGAATAATATTCCATTGTGTATAGATACCACAATTTGTGGTGGGAAATCTGGGTTGTTTCCATATCCTGGCTATTGTGAACAGTGCTGCAATATGTGCATGTGTCCTTGTATACTGGTTCCTGTTGTTTAGGAGAGATGCCTAGAAGGGGTATGGCTGGGTCATATGGAAGGTCAATATTTATCTTTCTGAGGACTCTCCAGACTGCTTTCCAAAGTGGTTGTACAAGTGTACATTCCCACCAGAAGTATAATAGGGTTCCTCTTTCTCCACATCCCCTCCAGCATTTGTCATTGGCTGACTTTAGGATGGGTCATTCTGACTGGGGTAAGGTGGTATATCAGGGTTGTCTTTATTTGCATTTCCTTTACAACCAGAGATGGTGAACATTTCCTCATGTGTTTCTTCACCATTTTCATCTCTTCTGAGAAGTCCCTCTTTAGTTCCCTTGCCCATTTAGTAATTGGTTTGTTAGGTTTGGGAGGGATTAGTCTCTTGAGTTCCCTGTATATACTGGATATTAACCCATTGTCTTATATATTGTTGGTAAATATTTTTTTCCCAGTTATTTGGTTGTATTTCTAGCTTGCTTGCTATAACTTTGG